GGTATCTTGATTGGTATTGCATTGAATGTATAAATTGCTTTTGGGAGAATGGACATTTTGATGATATTGATTCTTCCAATCCATGAGCATGGAAGATTTTTCCATTTCTTGGTATCCTCTTCTATTTCTTTCTTTAAGGTTTTGTAATTTTCATCGTAGAAATCTTTAACGTCCTTGGTTAAGTTTATTCCAAGGTATTTGATTGTTTTTGGAGCTACTGTGAATGGGATTGATCTTAGAAGTTCTTTCTCAGCCATTGCATTGTCTGTATACAAAGGCTGTTGATTTTTGTGCGTTGATTTTATACCCTGCTACTTTGCCAAACTCTTCTATGAGTTCCAATAGTCTCTTAGTAGAGTTCTTTGGGTCACCTAAATAAAGAATCATATCATCTGCAAAGAGGGATAGTTTGAGTTCTTCCTTCCCAATTTGTATCCCTTTAATTTCTTTTTCTTGCCTAATAGCTCTGGCTAGAACCTCCAGAACTATATTGAATAGCAGTGGTGAGAGTGGGCATCCCTGTCTGGTACCAGATCTCAGTGGAAATGCTTCCAACTTTTCCCCATTCAATAGGATGTTGGCTGTGGGTTTTTCATAGATTGCTTTGATTGTATTGAGGAATGTTCCTTCCAAACCCACTTTGCTTAGAGTTTTCATCATGAATGGGTGCTGTATTTTATCAAATGCTTTCTCGGCATCTATTGAGATAATCATATGGTTTTTCTTCTGCAGTCTGTTAATGTGGTGTATCACATTGATTGTCTTGCGCACATTAAACCATCCCTGCATACCAGGGATAAATCCCACTTGGTCTGGGTGGATGATCTTTCTGATGTGTTGTTGCATTCTATTGGCGAGAATTTTATTGAGGATTTTTGCATCTATGTTCATCAGGGATATTGGTCTGTAATTCTCTTTTAGTGCTGCATCTTTTTCCGGCTTAGGAATTAAGGTGATGCTGGCTTCATACAAAAGAATTTGGGAGGATTCCCTCTTCTTCGATTGTTCTGAATAGTTTGAGAAGAATTGGAGTCAGTTCTTCTTTAAATGTCTGGTAGAATTCAGCAGTGAATCCATCTGGTCCTGGGCTTTTCTTTGTTGGGAGGGCCTTTATTACTGTTTCAATTTCTGCCTCAGTTATGGGTCTGTTTAGGTTTTGATGTCTTCCTGGTTCAATTTAGGTAGGTTGCATGTGTCCAGGAATCTATCCATTTCTGATAGGTTTCCCTGTTTGCTGGCATACAAGTCCTTGTAGTAATTTCTGATGATTCCTTTTATTTCTGTGGTATCTGTTGTTACATTTCCTTTTTCATCTCTGATTTTTTGATTTGGGTCTTTTGTCTTCTTTTTTTAGTTAGTTGGGCCAATGGGGTGTCAATTTTGTTTATTTTTTCAAAAAACCAGCTCCTCATTTGGCTGATTTTTTGGAATGTTTTTCTTGATTCAATCCTGTTGATTTCTTCTCTGATTTTAATTATTTCTCTTCTCCTACTAGATTTGGGTCTGGTTTGCTGTTGGTTTTCTAGATCCTTGAGGTGAATTGAAAGCTCAATTCAATGTGACTAATGATAAGTGGTAACTTTGCCCTGCCACTTGCCAAAGATAAGTTCTAATATATGCTTTGAATTCCCTGGGATCTTTTGCTGTGAGGTTTCCTTCCTTTATCTTCTTTCATATTGATGACCGTATTTCTGTGTTTCTGTGTGTAACACATCTTTAAGCATCTGCTGCAGGGCTGGACGAGTGGCAACAAATTCTTTCAATTTCTGTTTGCTATGAAAAGTCTTTATTTCACCTTCATTCACAAATGATAGCTTTGCAGGATATAATATTCTGGGCTGGCAGTTGTTCTCTCTTAGTGCCTGGGCTATATCTCGCCATTCCCTCCTAGCTTGTAGAGTTTCTGATGAGAAGTCAGCTGTGAGTCTGATTGGAGATCCTCTGAGAGTAATCTGACGTTTCTCTCTTGCACATTTTAGGATCTTTTCTTTATGTTTCACTGTGGAGAGTTTAATTACAACGTGTCATGGTGAGGATCTCTTTTGGTCATGTTTATTAGGGGTTCTGTGAGCTTCCTGTACTAGGATTTCTCTGTCCTTCTCCAAACCTGGGAAATTTTCTGCTAATATCTCACTAAAAAGGCCTTCTAATCCTTTCTCCCTTTCCATGCCTTCAGGAACTCCTAGAACCCGAATGTTGGGTTTTTTAATAGTATCCTGAAGATTCCTGACAATATGTTTTAGATTTCTAATTTCCTCTTCTTTTCTTTGGTCTGACTGTATCCTTTCCTGTTCTCTGTCTTCTAAGTCCGATATTCTCTCTTCTGCTTCACCCATTCTGTTTGTAAGGCTCTCTATTGTGTTTTTCATTTGATCTATTGAATTCTTCACTTCAGTCACTATCACAGTTTCCTGTTGTACTAGTTGTTTCATTTCATTTTGATTCCTCCTTAATATTTCATTTTCACAAGAGAGATGTTCTACCTTGTCCATTAAGGATTTCTGTAGTTCAAGAATTTGTTTTTGAGAACTTCTTAATGTTCTTATCAATTTTTTGAAATCTGCTTCTTGCATTTCTTCTATGTCATCATCTTCATAATCTTGAATTGGGGTGTCTTTTTCATTTGAGTGCGTCATGGTGACTTCCTTGTTTATATTACCTCGGTTTTTGCGTTTGTTATTTGGCATATTGGAGATATTTGGTTTCTTCACTGTGGTGCTTTTTCTTGTTATACTATGACTCTAGATTAAGTGGACTATCTGTTTTTGATGGAGCCTTAGGGCTTGAGATGGGTGTGGCCTGAGAGCTCTGTTTGGTGTGCCAAAGGTGACACTCCCAGGTTAGGCGTGGTAAATCTCTCTCTCTCTCTCTCTTTCCTTTTTTGATTCAAAAGGGAAGTAATTCCACACAACTGAACGAAGTTGGAGGTAGTTAGCAGGCAAATGATATACCCACAGGAGCCAGAGATCGGAAGCTCTTTCCCAAGGACCACACAGGGAATCTGTTCGGCCCTCAGAGTGGGCTCAAAGTCTCCTTCAGTCTCCCACTGGGTTGCCAAAGTTACGGAATTGTAGCGTCTCTGGAGAGTGCTCACGTGAATTCCGTGAGTTCTCTCCCCCACCGTCTCTTTTTTCACAGTCTCAGTTCAGTAGCACCACAAATTTACTAGGTCCTAATCTCCTGTTAATTCGCCCCGCCCAGAGTCAGGTTTTTCTGCTAGGCTCAGGGCCGGTGCAGACCTGAGGTCGCTCTGCTTATGACGTATGTCCAAGATGGCGCCTGCTCTTTGTCTTGCTCGCCCTTGAGAGGTGAGTGGAGAGACAGAAACCCGTGTCCGTATCAATCACTTTTTTTCTCTCTCTCTCTCTTCTAGTTAGCCTGGTAAACTTTTCCCCCCGGGGTCATTCCCTCTAGTCTCCTCTCTCCGCTTGCCTGCCGGTGTCTCGGGCTATTGAGGTTCGGCTCACCTCGCGTTCCAGCGCTGGTGTATTGAGTCTGCAGCTGGTGTCACGAACTGTGGGCTCCCACACTCTCCACGCAGGTCCGCTGTGAATCACACGTTCCGGAAGAGTTTCTTCTGCTGTTTCCTCCCCTACTCTTCCTTGAACCTGCAGGATCTCCACTTTTATTAAACTATCTCTCCCCAGACTATCAGTGTGCCCCCTTCCTATTCTACCATCTTGCCTCCTCCACCAAAAAAAGAAAAAAAAATTAAAAACTACTTTCAATAAGTGAGAAAAAAGATAATAGATGTCATGTATTTCATAAATACAATTCTAAGAAGAAAACCTTCTTCATCTCTCCCTGATCAGTCCCCACTATTTCCTTCCTTTCTTTTTTCTTTAATTTTTGCAATAAAAGAATTTCAATTTACTTTATAATCATGGGCTTAATGCACCAGTAACTAGAATGTTTGATAAGTAAAAAGTAGAAAGACAAGGGATAGCTGATTCTTACACATATAATGTTATTTTCTGGATCAGCTTTGCAAATTTGTACTTTGTTTTGCTTTCTCATTCTAAATAAATACTCTGTTATATAATTTTGAATTTATTATTTATTATTTTTCTTATTGTAATATGTCTAAAGTGCATACGGTTCAAGCCTCAAAAAGTCAGGTTCTAAACTTGATTATATCGTGTACTATCACTGGAACACTGAGTAAAATATTGAAATTAAGAAAGGGCTATGAAAGCTTAAATGTACACGGTACACATTCTGTCTTTACATTTCCATTCCAAAGAGTACTAAATGTGTCCCCAGAATATGACTACCTAAAGAAGTTGTCATGGCTTTGCAAGCTCTTGAAGGTCACAGGCTCATCTTAGCTGTCAAAATGCCTATTCTGTGTCAACAGAAATAAATCCTAAATATCGTAGGCCACGTGCTACTTGAAACATCAGATACAAAAATTTTATCATATGGATTTATTCTTTTAATTTTAAAACATTTTTATTGAGCATAAATTACTGTTCTTTTTAACTTTTATTTAATAAATATAAATTTCCAAAGTACAGCTTATGGATTACAATGACGTTTTCCCCCACATAACTTCCCTCCCACCCACAACTCTCCCATCTCCCGCTCCCTCTCCCATTCTATCCGCATCAAGATTCATTTTCAATTTTCTTTATATACAGAAGATCAATAAATTAAGTAAAGATTTCAACAGTTTGCACCCACAGAGAAACATAAAGTGTAAAATACTGTTTGAGTACTAGTTATAGCATTAATTCATATTGGACAACACATTAAGGACAGAGATCCTACATGAGGAGTAAGTGCACAGTGACTCCTGTTGTTCACTTAACAATTTGACACTCTTGTTTATGGCATCAGTAATCATCCTAGGCTCTTGTCATGAGTTGCCAAGGCTATGGAAGCATTTTGAGTTCATAAATTACTGTTATTAAACATTAATGAATATTAACAATATTAATGATAATAAACATTATTATTACTATTTAAGAGTAATTTATGAGAAAAATAATGTCTCCTTTCTCAATGGACATCAAGAAGATAGTCTGTGATATGCATTTTTTAAAGATTTTCATTTATTTATTTGAAAGGCAGAGTTACAGAGAGGCAGAGAGACAGAGACAGAGAGGTCTTCCATCTGTTAGCTCACTTCCAAAATGACTGCAATGGCAGGAGGTGGGCCCACCCTAAGCCAGGAGCCAGGAGCTTCTTCTGGGTCTCTCACGCTGCTATAGGGGCCCAAGGACTTGGGCCATCTACTGCTTTCCTAGGCCATAGCAGAGAGCTGGATAAGAAGTGGAGCAGCCAGGACTCGAACAGGTGCCATATGGGATACCAGCACTGCAGGTGGCGGCTTTACCTGCTATGCCACAGTGCCAGCTCCATTTTGTTTGTTTGGTTGGTTGGTTGGCTTTAGTCTGATATTTAATGTTTTATCTGTATCCAACACTATAAAATAAACTTGTGGAGAATGAGGTATCATTTGGGAAAATTTCACTTTATGCTTTTGTCAATTTCAGTCATATTTTGCAGCAAGGTACCAGAAACATTCAAACACATTTCAATTTCTGAAACTATCAACACATTACTTATGGCTTTTTCAGGTCAGCATTCTATCTCTAAACTTTTTTTTAAAATGTTATCTCCTACTTTTTCCCCTAGTTATGGAACAGAAATAAAATGAGTCTCCTGTCAAAACACCATGTCTCTTAAACTAAGGTACCATATCCCTTTGACAAATACTGAAGGTATCAGAACATTAATTTTTCAGATATTTATGAGAACAACTGTCAAGAATATATAATACATATATAAGACAGTGTGGATGTTCCATATTTTATTGAGAAGTGCTGCCTTCTATAAAGTATTTTTCTTTCAGTATTGTGAAATTATAACCACCATACATTGGCCTTGAGTTTGGCAGGATTCTTTATCTCAACAATGTATCCTTAAATAAGATTTTCTGATGAAAAGGTCATGTGCACCTGCCACGAGTTTATCTCTGCTTCTGCTCACTGTAAAAGTGTGTCTGAGATCTGCCTAAACCAATGTAGAAGGAGTAAACTTCGAAAAGCTCATGGAAAATGTAAAGAAAAGTTTGTGTTGGTGCAAAGAAAAAAAAAAAAGTTGAAATCCCTGCATAGTATTTTCATTTCAATATTTTTAAATTGCATTTGATATGCAGAGAGAGAGAGAGAGCTACCCAATGGTCACAACAGATAAGACTGGAGAAGGGAACTCCCCCATGGGTGGCAGGAACCCAATTACTTGAGCCATCACTGTAGCCTTGCAGGATCTACATTAGCAGGAAGATGGGGTCAGAAGCCTCAGGGAGTTAATCAGACCCAAGCATTTCAAAACACCATGTGAGCATCTTCACCACCAGCCCAAACACCACTCCCTCTGTGAACTTTGTGACAACCCCTGGTATGCATGGATTCCAAAGTTGCTTGCAGCAGAATCATCTTATCTTTAAATGTTGTCTGTCCACAAACATTCTGAAATGCCCGTATAGCTCCTTTTGTACCAACAGGCAAGGTATCTAGGAGAAAATGTTAAGAGAGGAGAAAATAGAAGCACATGTAATCTTCTGATAGAATTCGCTTTCTTTTTCACATGGACTTACATATGCTGCCTTATATGACAGACTGAATTATAAATCTTGATTTCCATAGTTCTTTAAACACCTCATAAAGGGTTCTGTTCTCATTCTTGTTTTGTTAGAAAACATTCTTTTTCATGTCCTTTTGTAAAATTTCCAATTGCTTAAATGCAGGTGAATTCATACCATCTTCTAGATCTTTAGATTTTCTGACACTGAAGATGAAACCAGAATGCAATCTTGGTGAAATGAGCAAGAGAGCTGAGGCGGGGATAAAAGGAACAGAAACCGTCTCCAAATCCCAGCTCCTCAGCGCCAGCTCAGCCCCAGGACACCTGCAGCAGGTTTTCTAAGGTGACAGACACACTCCTGAAAGTAAAGAAAACCTTGATGCTCAGGAGAAAGTGATCCACGTACCTGTGATCAGATTTCCACTCGGGGAAGCTTCTGTCTATTTAGAGCACATCATTTCCTTCCTTTAGCATTCAGAGCAATAGTGAAGAAAAAATACAGAAACTTGTTCTCCTTACCCAGCTACCATCAGATGAGACGATTGTTCTTCCTATGTGTCATGAATCAAGGTATTAAGATTAAAATAAAGTGATAATTTAACAAGGAAGCCTATACTTTGTTAAAAATCTGCTAGTTCCTTTTAAAAATGTAAATCACAGATCTACTGGGAAATATGCATCTTGCTTAATTAATCTTGGGAACCATCTGAGTATCAGCAACTTATTTATTGAGTGCAATTAGCTGAGGCCCAGAATAGAAGTTAAGGAGAAACCATGCTGCATGGTCCAGTACAAACATGTCATTCACTGAGCTTGAAATGAACTATCTATTGTGTCCTTCTCCTAATTTATAGTCCTGTATAGAGTTTCTAAACAACAGTGTAAATGAGATAGGACTTTCCACCAACCCACACTCACAAATAAATGAGGATATAACATTGCTTGGCAGAAATGGATTTCTTTTCCTGCAAATTAGTAGGGAAGTAAATTATCATTTTGTAGGACTGTGTGCTTTGTCTTAAATTTTAAACTAATATGTAGGGGAATAGATCAGTTTTAGCTACCCTCAGGCCCATTCATCAGAATTAAGGTCCTAGTATTATAGAGCTGGAAGTCTCTTCCAAGGTTATCAAGCCCAGCCTACTCCCCATTCATCAAAGGGAGGACCAACATATGCCCCAGCATGCACTACGATTTGTAATTTGAGGTTGATAGAGTATGGATTTCTGGAAAACTGTGAGTAAATTACCTTATCATTTTCTGCCTTAGTATCACCATCTGTAAAATGAAAACAAGAGTAGCTATTTCAAAGAGCCATTGCAAACTGATCTGAAATTCACAGAAGAAAAAGACATATTGATAAATTAATGTAACAGGTCAATTTGTGACCACAAACCTTAGGATAGGAATGTACTTTAAAAAAGCATCCAGATATATAGTGTTGGCTTCAAAAGCAAAGGCAATAGATTTGAAAATTTAAAAATAATATGCAGAACACAATAGATGGAAACAGTCTCCCCGGTATTTTCTATTTCTTGATCCATTTCTGAATTGCTTTTTCTGTCATCTTTATTTCTCTAATTTCAGTATATTCAGCAAAATAATAGGTCTCCTGTTGTAGATGCAAGATTAAAAATAGCACTGAACATTGCAAAGATGTGGAGGGCGGTACTGAGCATATTGATTAGCCAATAATTGGCATGTTCATAGAAAGGAACATGGCTGTGAGTGAACAGAGCATCCCTTTAAAATGATGTCTTCATGCTTAATCAGGTTATGCAGCTTCCTTCCTTCCTAAAAAATTGCTTGAACAGGAGCTTGCTGGTCAGCATCAAAGCTGACAGTGAGATCCCAGAGCAAGGAGAACTGCTTTGAGTTCTCTGGGTCCCCTGCTGAATGAGGCGGGGAATAGCTCTGGGGCAGCCAAAAATGGGAAAAATCTCTTCAGATTCAGAACATTTCCTCCTCTGTGACAGAGCTGAAGCTGTTGGGGACTCCAGTTTAGCAGAGATAACTCCAGCCACTAAAGTGTATCACACTGAAAAAAACGGCAGACAAGAATGGCCTGTCTTTGCATTATTATATTTCCGAAAGCCAAGGTAAAGCACTCTACAGCCTCTGAAAATGCAGGTAATAGAAAGCAGTAGGCAGGCAAATAAATGACCGCCCTCTCCCCCTTGGGCTCCAGAAAAGATGATCACTATAATAACCACCATAGTTTGATATTCATTAAATATCAAAAAGACTCTGAGATCCAAATCCTAAAAAATGTGAACTTCAACTCTTTAAGTATCTGTGCTAAGCAGTGACCTTGTCTATTAGTTTTATAATATTATGGAAAAAACTCATCTGTTAGAAAGTCAAAGCTCTAGGGTATCTCTCCTTGCCTCACTAAAAAAAAAATTAAGTAAATTCTATTCAACATATTATATTTGCATGTGCTTCATAATTTTCATGTATTTCTAAGCTTCCTTTTTTGGTCAAATAAAAAATGAGGGAATTCAATGAAATAACTCTAATTCCTTGGTGACCAGAGGAGTGACCCATGAGCAAACTGACTCCTGCAAAAAAGCCATTTGGAAAAAGAAAAAAAAAGCCATTTAATTCTGGATCATCACACATATATGCATGGCCTCTCACTACCCCTCACAGCACTGGTCAATCACAGAACAAGCTTCATTTCAGGATTCTCTCTTCCACCCATCCAAGGGCCTTGTTGATTTTTTTTTTTTAATTTTTCTCAACACATCATTCTGTGGCTTGCAAAGGAGAATCATTGGAGAGCCTCATAAAACTTCTTCATTGCCAGATCCCTTGGGTTATGTGAAAGCTAAGATACTCTTTACATATTCCAAGGTGTCATCAGTGTTCTGTGTTTTGTAGGGATCACTTTCTTCTAATGTCATTTGGATTAAATACCATCCCATTGTAGTATTTTTTTCCAGCTCCTATGACAAAGCGCCACAGAATGGATGGTTTAGCCAACATAAATTTACTATCTCATGGCTCTAGAGACTGGAAGTTCAAGATGAAGATACCAGCAGGGTTGTTTTCTCCCGAGGCCTCACACCTTGGCTTGCAAATGGCTATGATCTTTTAGTCTCTTCACAAGGTCTTGGCTCTGCACATCTGGATTCAAATTTCCTTTTCTTATAAGGCAACCAGCCATATTGGATTAGGGCCTACCCTAATGACCTAATTTTAATTAATTGCCTTTTTAAAGACTTCCTGTCCAAACACAATAACATTCAAAAGAACTGAAGATTATGACTTCAACATACGAATTTTGAGGGACCACAACCCAGCCCATAACACCCACAGCACTCAAGGGTGAGTTATTCTTCAAATAAACATCAAACTTCACAAGATCATCAAATATTTATTTGCTTTTATGTTGAAAACAATAATATATTGATGCTAGTATATTTCAATTGAATTCTTTCAGTTATTTTTGTCATCATGTGTGGCATATATGAAAAATTACATATAAAATATTTGCATTATCCTTTTTCTTTTGTGACACTTAAAAATGAAGCAAGCTTTGCAATGCTCACTGCTAGCTGATATCAGATTCCTCTATAGGAATGACCTTTGACTTTGAATTTCTGCTTCTAATGTTTCTTTTCTCTTCCTGCTGTTCTCAACTTTCCAGGTATCCAGTTTCAGGATAATTTACACTATTACAGAGCAATGTTCTTTTGTCCTCTCTCTTTTTCCATTTTGATCTTGTGTCTTGATACTTATCACTGTTACCAATAATTTCCCTTCTTAAAACCATGTGTGTTCAGTTCGAAAGTTTTGCAGGGATAGAGTCCCTGAGAACACATCCTCAAAATCTGTGTGTAGGAAAGTGCTCCTTATTTAAAATAGGAAAAAAGTCCGATTCCCTTGACTTCAAAAGAATCCATGCTCACAATGAAAAACAATTTGCAATTTATGAAATTTATTTTATTATATCCATTCTTTAGCTTCTGAGCAGAGTTTCATGAAAATTAGAAATTGTTAATTTCCCCACAAGTCAGTGAATTTCCTTAATTAGAGGCAAAAGAAAAGACGCATTTGGAAACAACCACAGAAAAAACTTTCAAACTATTAAAAAAAAGGCTATCATAACTGGAACAATAGGATGGAAATAGGCGGGGCATTCATATTCAGAATGCCCAGTAATACCAGGAAGATTGAAAAATCTAAGATTCACAATGCTTTCTTCCCACTGTTATTCAACAACATTAAACTTTTCTTAAAATTTCTGACAATTTCAGATAATCCTGGCAATTTGAAGTGACAATTATTTGAATATGTAGTTAAGACCCCAAATAAATCTTAAAATTAAATATTCTGAAAACATAGCAAAAATCACATGACTGGCATTGCAAAGCACATTTTATTGTGCTGTTTCTTTTTAGAAACTATTCTCTGTGTACCAGATCAATTAAATAACAGGAGATATACAAATGCTATAGAGGTATCTCAGACTAAAGTGTAAATACAAGGTAATTCTAATATCCACCTATTAAAAATTAATTTAAAAAATCAATTCTCTTAGTTACTTACTCTTTGTTTTTTAGCAGAGAATCAACTGTTAAAAGTTCACTCATTCCCTTTATGAAGTAGTTTTTACCATTTCATGCCAATAATATCCAACACAGAGAAATGTACTAGGACCTCTGAGTATTTATCAGAAAACAAAATGCAATCTTTCCCCGAGTCACCTTGTACTTGTGCTGACAGATTGACTCACAGTCAGACTCGATGCTTTATGGTTCTGCTGGCCAGACTTCCATCTGCCCGACTGTTTGGGGTATGAGAATATTCCTGCCTTGGCCACTGTTGTTTTCAGCACAGCTTTACTCATTCAGTGCCCTCTACTTAACCTTGAAACAAAAAGAAAGTACATCTTAGGCATTTTTCATTTCACCAAAAAAAAAAAAAAAGTTTATTAAACATGGGAATTTGTGACTGTGTGTCTACAATTGGAACAACCTAGGAGCAATGCCAAAAGGAAAAGTCGCGACACAAGTTTGAACAGCAAGTGTCTTTGACTTATTGCTGTGATTATACTAATTGCTCATCTACTTGGTGGGAGGTTGCAGGAAGCTGTTTTGAAGTAATCAAGCTGAGATGGGCCCTTCTATTTATAATAGTTCTGAAAATCCTTACACCCCAAAAAAGACTTAGCTACATTTTTCTTCTTTTAAAAATAGATTCACTCTTCCATTTTGTCACAATTTCCAGAGAGTTTCTTACTTATTTTAATTATCCTTTGTCTCTTAATCTGAATACAAACCTCTCAATATTTGACTTACTTAGAAATAATAGGTTTTCAGATGGAAAGTACACATGTATATTCAAAATGGTTTGAATTTTTAAAATTTTACTTTTACAATGTATTTAGGGGAAATTGAATATAAAATAACCTATTTTGGGCATAATCCATACACTTAACAGTAATCATTTTTATATGTGTGGGGTTTTAGGCATGAGGAATGGTTTTATCTCCATAGTCATTTCTCAGCTCTACTGTACTTTTGCATACGTATACAACACATACACAGACTGTAGCCCAATGCTAAGGTTTGTCAATGACTGCTGCAGGTTGACATACTAGAAACACCTGCATATTAACTAGATTCAATGTCTGAACCCATAAAACTTTAGAAAGTACTTATCCTAATAGCATCGGGAAACAGCTATGAGCATAGACACGCATTTTAATGAGCCTTGAATTGAAACAACCGTTGTAGATGGGGAAAATCATCCCAAAATTAAGCTCAGTCTTTGAAAGACAGAGACAGTATTTCAGAAGAGGAAAATTGCAAATGTGAGGTTTAGTTTAATGGTTATAATACTGCTTAGGATGCCACATCCCACATCAAAGTACCTATGTTCAACTCTAGGACCTAGCTTCTGTGTCCAACTTCCCAGGAATGCAGAACCTGGGGGGCATTGGTGAAGGCTTGAGCCATTGGTTTCCTCTCACCCATGTGGGAAAGCTGGCTTGGGTTTCTACTCCTAGCTATTGCTCTGGCCAAGCCCTGGGGTCAACACCAGCATTTGAGAACTAAACAAGCAAATGGGAGTTCTCAAGCTCACTTGAGTGCTCACTCATGCTCTCTCTCCTCTCTTTCCCCCCCCCCCTCTCTCAAATAAATAAGTAAATAATTTTTTACAAAATGAAATACTGGCATTGTTTGCCCATTGAACAAAAAGTTGTGAAATATCACTTAAGACAAAATAGCATAACATTAAATAAATATGGTTTCTAATAAGTAACCCTATCACCCACGTTTCATTGGGACATCTTTGGTTGAAACAATTATTGGATACTCTGATCTTAGTTCACTAACTTAGCACATTTTTAATATATATTATGTAAAGGAGGTATACTGGAAACAGAACACAGAGATACGGAAAACTTAGATATACCAACCATATAAGAATATAATTTAGGGGACCAGTACTGTGGTGTAGCAGGTAAAGCTGCTGCCTACAATGCCAGCATCCCGTAAGGGCACTAGTTCGAGACCAGGCTGCTCCACTTCTGATCCAGCTCTCTGCTATGGCCTGGGAAAGCAGTAGAAGGTGGCCCAAGTCCTTGGGCCCCTGCACGTGTGTGAGAGACGTGGAAGAAACTCCTGGCTCCTGGCTTCGAGTGGGCCCAGCTCCAGCCATTGTAGCCAATTGGGGAGTGAACCAGTGGATGGAAGACCTCATCTCTCTCTCTCTCTTTCTCTCTCTCTCTCTCTCTTTGCCTCTGCCTCTCTGTAACTCTTTCAAGTAAATAAATAAATATTTTTTTAAAAAAGAATATAATTTAGTAGTTTTTACAAATGTCTAAATTTTAATTGGCATATAATTAAACATATTTATAGGGTGCCATGTGATAATTCAATATGCACAAAGTGTAACGATCAGGTCAGGATAATTGGTATATACAGCATCCCAAATATTTATCATTTCTTTGTGTTGAGAACACTCAAAATTCTATCTGATTTATTGAAATGTATAATTAAAAGTCAACCTCAGTTACTCAACTGTGCTACAACACATTAGAAGTTATTACACCTCTTCAAATGCACACCTGTACCCATTAACACCCTCAGTCCTCCCTGCCTTCTCCACAGCCTCAGGTAAACGCTGTTCTACACTCTGCTTCTATGAGCTCAACTTATTTTGCTTTTTTTTTTTTTTCATTTTACTCTAAAGGCAAAGAGACAAGGAGATAGAGAGATCTCTCATCTGCTGGTTTACTCATGGACCAGGGCCAAGCCTCACCAAATCCAAGAGCCTAGATCTCAATCCAGGCTTTTTACATGGGTGACAGAGTCTCCAGTACTTGACCCATCACCTGCTATCTCCCAGGGTACACATTAACAGGAAGCTGGAATTGGAAGCAGAGCTAGGCCATGAACTCAAGCATTCTGATATGGGTTGCAGATACCACAAGCAGTGTCTCAACTGTTGCATTAAATGCCCACTCCATATGAGTTGAACTTTTTTTTCCTATGCCTCACATATTACACTTTACATGGTTTTCTTCAGTTCCATCCATGTTGCTATAAACTACAAGATCCCATTGTTTTACAGCTGACTGATACTCAACTGTGTATGTATACTATATTTCCTTTATCCATTCATCTATAGATGGACAACTAGGTTGATCCCATGTCTCAGCTATTAAGTATAGTGCTTTAATAAAAATAAGAGTCATGATCATTGAGTGTGGTAATTAATTGTTCTTCAGAGCAGTTACATTTCAAGTTACTTAAGTCGGATTATAACTGCTTGCGTTGTGATGCTGCAACATCACATCCCATATCAGAGCTGAGATTGGAGCCCTGGCTGCTATGCTTCCAATCCAGCTCCTCACTATTGTGCATGGAAAACAATGGGTAATCTCTCAAATACCTGAGTTCCTGCCACCCAAGTGACAAACCTGGATGTATTTCCTGACTCCTGGCTTCCTTTGGCCTGGCCCAACCTCAGCTATTCTGGTTATTTTGACCTTTTAGGAAATAAGCCAGTAGGTGGAAGATCTCTCTCTCTCTCTCTCTTGCATGCTCATTCTGCTTTTCAAATAAATAAGCACATTTTTTTAAAAGTGAGTAATGAAATGTAAATATTGAGATAATGTACACTAAATTTTGTAAATAATAATGACTTTCCATATAGCTCATTGGTTTTCTCCTTGCATGGCACTCCTCTGAGCTCCAGGGAATGTCTGTAGTTAGAGGAGAAAATTGAGGAACAAAAAATAATAAAATTCAAATACTTTTAAATTTCTGTTTATTCTAAGTACATTATTTTACCTTTTGGATAATGGTAAATGTATGTATACACACACACACACACACACACACACACATATATATATATAAACTTCCATGACATCTTTGAGAGAAATCCACACAGAGTAAATACATCAGTGACTTGAAAGACTGACTGATCTACTTCTTCCTCTTCCCTTCCAAAGGTAGTCCACAGTAAGTCAGATAGTAACTACAACATTTGCTGGATTTTTCAACTGAAATATAATATACTTTTTCCCTGGAACACTATTTTCTGCTAACAGAGCACACTTGTCAAAACCCTTAAATGTGTCAGCAATAAGCATCAGCTAAACATACAAACAGCGAGATAAATAAGTGACAAAACACTGTACATTATTTGGAGATAAATGTGAGCATACCACCAATTGCAATACTTAGCAACTTTTAGAAAATGCTCCTAAACTAAAATTATGTTTTTTATGAGATTATTTAACAGGATTTTGGAATATATAAAAGTTCTTGTTGGGCAATGAGTGGATTCTAGAAGCTGAGAAACAATAATATATGGCATGATTGAAATCTGTAAGAAGACTGAATGATAATACATAACAGCTGCTCCAGCTAGTGTCTGCCTGCCCAGCAACCAGCAGAGAGGGAATGCCTGAGTCTGGCTGGGAGAATAGACCGGAGGCTGGGTGATTGTCATGGTGTGAGGTTTGTGTGCTGGGACTGTGAAAACACTGTAGCTGTGTGGGAGGGCACAGGGTGTGGCTAGGTCTCTGGGCAGTCACTGTGGACAGCTCTACACACTCAGGGCTTCCTGATTGTGCAGCAATGGTCATTGCTGCAGGATCTGTGCTCAGACCAAGGACTGCATGGATCCTTTGTGTGTTTCTTGTGGCAGTGCGGACGAACATTATACCCACTGGGGCTAGCATCCAGCATTGGTCTCCTTTGAGCAGAGGAGGTGAGCATGAGACTATGTCAAAAGAACAGAACTAACCTCCTCTCTGATAAACAGAGAGAGAGAGAGAGAGAGAGATTAACCATGCTCAAATTGCGTGTCACTTGGGACATTCCCCACACCTGGAGCACTGAACAGAGCTCCTTGACCACACCCAGTGCACGCCTCTGGGTATTAACTGAGAGAGCTGATACTCCCCTAAGCCGCAGGGCATAGTCCAAAGATAAAAGGCATCATAGGAAAAAAAAAAGACAAATAGCTCCATAAATGCCAAATAATATAAACACAGCAATTCAAGAAACAAAAATAATGAAGACAACAGTATACCCCCAAAGAACACAATGCTTTAGTACTAGAATGTGAGGATGAAGAGATTGAGGAAATCCCAGGACAGAATTCAAAAAATTGATCATAGTATTACTTAAAAATAATCAGAAGCAAATCCACAAATTAGACATCCATATAAGATATGAATAAAAAACTTTCCCCTGAAATTGAGATTTTGAAAAAGAAATCAAAATGAAATACTGGAAATGAATAATACAATAGAACAAATTTAAAAATGTGATGGAGAGCAGGAAAAACAGACGTGGTGAGGCAGAAAAAAGAGTAACTGAGTTAGAAGACACCTCTG